TGTGAGAACAGAGGAGGATAGAGATGAGCTCGAGGCTACCTAAATAGAGAAAATATAGAAACAAGAGGTCAAAAGGTGGTTGAGAAGATAGAAGCAAAACACCACGTCAAAATCAAGCGGTGGGGAAATGGAGAGAGAGAGAGAGAAAGAAAGAAAGAGAGCAGAAACAGGCTGGGGAAAAAGGGGTATTTATATATATATATACGGGCAAGATCAACCACCGGAAGCGAGGTAAGTAAAGAGTATATCGGACAGCAGATAGAACATCAGATAGAACATCCCAGCTCAGCAAAGGCGGTGGCTGGTTTGGCATTCTGAATGTCTGAAAAGGGATTGCGCTGCTGTGGTGTGTTGTGGTGTGTTGTGTTGAGCCGTGTTGAGTGATATCCCTCCTGTCCATGAAGTGAAGCAACGGTAATCACATCTGTGTAAATAATAGGCTACGATTGGGATTAAATAGATACATACACACATGTGCACACACGGACAAACATGAGCAATCATGATACCAGCATTTGAAATACGCCCGAACCCTCGAAGCAAAATGCCCAATATTTTTTGTATTGCCCTATGAGAGCTTCCGACGAGAAAGGAAGTAAGTAGAAAATGAAGCACACAGAAAAAGAGAGATTCCCTTTTGTTCAAACGCCCATTCGTGCGTGACTCTCTGTCTCTCTAGCCCCAAGAGGAAACACCAGAAACCAAAAAGAGGAAAATAAAATAAAATAAAAATATCAAAACTAGCAAAGGGGAAATGAAAAGTTATCAGATAGAAAGGGGATTAAATTACCAGACCAAATCCCAAGGACCATCGCCACACCAGGACGAAGGAAAACAAGCTAAGATTGGTAGCTATATCTTTTGTCTTCTCCCCATGGGTAAAAATCAATCAACACGATTTTTCACCTTTCACCGAATTTTGGTGCGCCACCGTCGGTGCAGAACAACACTACTTACTTTTCTTCCGTCTCTTGTTTGATGAAGATACGTTTGCTCTAGCATTAGCACTACTCGTCCCCTCGAGCCCCTTTGCAAGCTCTCATCGACACTCACTGCTCGAAAACGCCTCAGTGATGCGAGACCCATCAGATCCGCCGCTTCTTGCACCACCGAAATTAAGTGTGCCGGATCCATCACCCAGCCCTGAAGTGTCAAGAGTCTCACTACCGCTACTGCCGTGGTTGATACCGATATACCCGTCAAAGTATCCAGGCGCTCCTGACACCGGAAGTGTATGAACGGGCGCATTGGAGGTACGGAATACATCGCTGGTCGTGACCGGCGGGAGCCCGTCGAAATCGAATAGATCGCTAGCGTGAGTATCACTGGCAGTGGGGGTATGGTTTGTGGCGTTGTTATCAGACTCCTTTCCTTCGCCCGTTTGAAGATCGTCGTTGAGCCCAGATAGGTCGCCATTTTTATCCATGCCCGGGATGTCAGAGAAATAGTCACTGTTAAAAATCTGATCCAGGTCCAGGGGCGGAGGTGGCACCCCTGAATTCAGGCTGTTTTCATCAAGGCCTGGGATTGATCCGTTAGGGCTCAAAGGCTGTAGAAGGCTCGTGAGATTCTGAACGGAGCGGTCTTGCTCTGCCTGCATTTTCACGAGGTTGTCGATTTCCGCTCGCGTGCTGGCAAGGCGGGTAGGGTAGCCTGCTGGCATCGGTGGCGGATTTGGTGTGATGAGCGCATTGTTCGGTGACGCTGTAGTAGTTGGATCGGAGGCATGGTTTTGGTTGGCAATCAGGCGCAGCACATCAGCTCGCTGTGACGCAGTAAGGGGAGAATTTCCACCAGAAGTTTCAAACGAGGAGAGCATTCTGGGAAAATCAGATAAGTTGGACGATGGATTATTCCTCGCGTTCGAGTTCTGGATAGCAGACATGATGTCTCTCTCGGGTAAGTTAGGCGCGGATTGACCTTGCTGAGCAGATTGGGACGATGGCGTTCGCTGGTGCTGTACAGGGAGTTGCTGCTCTTGTCGGTTTGGGATTGGTGCCTGGGAAGCTGAATTGTGGGGACTGCCAAACGGCTCTTCGATGTTCCCAGACGCCGTGCTGTTCTTGTGCTCGGATAGTCGTCTGTGACTTAGAGATGTATCGTAAGGACTGGCAGTCGAGGAAGGACTTATTGCGTTGCCTTGCAACGGCTGTACATCTCGGTCACTAACTGGAGGCGCCTTCAGCAGCAATTGCTGTTTCTTAAAAGGCCGCTGACCAGAAGGATCTACATTTATACCTCCGATATAATCGTTCATGTCGACAATGTTCCTCTGAGTTGTGTCTTGGGGTATGGCTCCAGCAAAGGAGTTAACAATTCCCTGGATTCCTTCATGACCCTGTAAACTTCGATTATACACCGTGGCCAGGAATGTGAGTATGGCGTTGATAGAATTTTCGTGGCGGGTGTGCTGTTCCTGGAATGTGGCTGCCTGTCCATAGAGCTGTTCGTGCTCTCGTCGCAATTTGCCGATAGTCGAGGATATTATTTGCTGTTGTTGACGAATATTCTGAAGCTCACGGTATACATTGGCTAATTGTTCATTTGCCAGTATGCCCTCCCCAGCACCGATGGAGAGTTGTCCACGAAACCTTGACCGCTCATGTTGGGCACCACCTCCTTCGTCTCCAAAGTCCTCATTATCTCCGTCATCTCCGTCACCGTCGTTCTTCACACGTTGTCCACCTTTGGCAGACCCTCGGCCATGGGCAGATACATTCTTGGGCTTCTGTATGAGCCAAAGGAGGTCAGGGTGACCACGCCTGAAATAAGGATTCGAATATTCGCTGGGACTCTTATTTTTACGTTCGCTAGCCCGCATCGAATTGTCAGTTAGCCCAACTTTTTTATGAAAACCGTACATGTTCAGTTGACGAACGAATGAGGCGTAGTTGTTGTGTTTGAAAAGCTCTGGAATTAGCGTTTTGGCGAATTCATCTTCGTCCAGCACAATAAATGAATTCCCATCTTCAGACCATCGTATTAGATCGGTATTCTTTGACTCGTCGAGAAAACTGTTTTTAGAGAAAGACATCATCAGACGCGTTATTCCTCGTTGCGGGTGCGTAAAACAAGGACAAAATACATATGTCGAACAGCATACCTGCTCAGCTTCTGTACGAATGGCGGAATCTGTTTCCTCTTTGCCTGCGCGTCCTTTTTGGCCAGGAGCGCTCGTTTGGCCAGCTCTGCTTCTGTCTCCGTGTCAGGATCTCCTCTGCTATCTGTTCTTGGTCTGGTTGGGTCCATCAATGAAATCGCATTCTGGTCATGTAATTGTGCTCGACTAACTAGCTGGTTGCCTGGCCGCCGCGTGAGTTGGTTTGATGCCTGCAAGGAGTCGACATCGACTGGTTTCGGCACGGCGGAGGAGTATTGCTGGGATCCGCCGAGAGCAGCAGGGGGTTCTGAATGAGTGGGGCTGGACTGCGCCCATTGTACGAACTGGTCGTTGGATAGTTGGAGGTCTGCTGGGCCTATGTGTTGACGGGCGATGGGAGAGGCGCCTGGCGCTGGTCTCTTTCGAGAGACATCTGGCGACGTCATTCCCAACATGTACTAGATAACGGGGAAGTACGGGCGAGGAAAACAGGCAGCTAGACCGCGTGGAAAGGGGAATCGGACGGGGAAAAAGAATTGAGCCTAGAAGAGATGAATAGTGATATGTCGAATAAGGATTCAGAGGATCGGGATTTTGATATCTGCGTGTGCGTTTCGGGAAAGGGGTGTGGATTATGGCGTCCGTCGTGACTCGACAATATGAGGTTTTCGGGCAGTAAATGTGGGAAGAATACTGCCAACTCCGGTCAACAACCAACAAGGCAATGATAGAAGGCAATGGGATTCACAATGAGATTGCAATTCTGTCGAACAGATGGATGGAGGAGATGGGGGAGGGGGGTTGTCACTTTTTCATCACGCCACCACTAGCCTAGCTGTGTGGATTGGATGGATAGTTGAAGGATTAGATGGGGGCGGGATATCCGCCAGCGGACGAAGGAGTGCAATAAGACACCAGAGCAGTTGATACCGCAAGATGTAAGGATGGGATTGTAGGCGGGGATGGACAAGATGGACAAGATGTTGATGTTGATGTTGAGGAAGATAGCGTTACATGACGCTGCTTGTGGTTGCTGCTTCGCGACTTTTAAGTTGCACCTAGCCTGAAGCGATATCTCGGGAAGGGCTGAGCCAACAGAACAAACACGCCAAGACACGGCGGAAAATAGGTGCCATGTGATGTCATAGACTATGTTTACAATGTCTAATACTCCTGTATAAACAATCTCCTTTCTTCTGTTAAATGTTGAAGTCGATGCCATTATGCATCATCATGTCTGGCCCAGTATTTGAGTGTTTCTCTTCTTGGAAAAAATATGAAAGTCAATGATATTGTTAAACTAGTTTGCAGGCTTGTGCACACATCAAAAATTATATATGGTACATTCTTCTTAATACATCAGAGAGAAGTTTAAAAGACAACACACAAGATCAACAAATAAGATTGCAAGTCATCAGTGCAATTAAATGTGATAGCAAGTCTCACTTCTGTTCATACTGAGTTTCTGTCTGGGTTGTCCATCTCATTACACTACAAGCACTAAGTGAGGTTTTGAGATGAGAGATAGAGAACACATTCAACAAGTATGGCATGTTGAAGTGCAAGACAAGCTCTTTGTCTCAAGTGAATCAATAGAATTGTATGCAATTGGTTAACCCCCTATTGCAATACACTTAGCTCTGTCTCATGCGCAACACAATGGAGCCAGTCACAAAGGTAATAAAAATCATACCATATTATTCTCCCAGCGAGCGCCATCATCAGGGTTCCAGGCCGCCATATTGCTCCTTTTGGTTTCTCCTGTCTTCTTGACCTCTTTGTTTTCTTGTTTATCATCCGTCATCCATCATGATTACCATTATCTTATCTCACCAATCCTCTTCTTAAACCCACCAAGTAGTGTATCCCACTGTTCAGGGTATTTCGTAGCAAACTCTTCCACGGCCTTGGGCGCAGTAAGATCACCCAGCATTCGGCCTTCATTTTTCGTCCCGTTGAGTATGACCGTACCCTCCAGACCTAGCACCAAACAGTACAGCGCGGCCTGCCGAGTGATGTGAACCTGTTGGCTCAACATCCCGACCTCAGTTGACCTGACCAGCTCCGAGTTTGCAGTCAGCGTCCAGAAGGCCTGGTATATGATGGAGTTCTCGTGGCAGAACTGGCGGAGACTAATGTCAAACCTTGATACCGGGTAAAATCGATTCTGAACCACAGCGGGCTTCACCTTTGCCGACCTGCAAAGGGCCCTGAGGAGGGAGAGGTCGCAGTTTGAGATTCCGAGATTTCGTATTCTGTGAGGGACGTATTCTTCTAGGATTTCCCAGGCTTCGAGTGTCTCACTGATGGTTGGGAGAGGGCTGTGCAATATTAGTGCGTCGAGGTACGTTTCCCTTTCTGAACTTATATCGTCCAGTGGGCGGAGGTTTGCCAGTGATGATTTGATGGAGGAGTGGATCTGGGCTGCAATTGGAGCGGAGGGGTCATAGGGAGCAGAAGAGGGGTCTTGACTGGCGATTGGAGTGAATTTCGTTTGTACCTGCAACAAGCCGGCCACGATACTATCATCAGTCCTCGAGCACCCGAAGAATATAGTGTGGCACATGGAGTCCAAAAAAAAATCCGAGATTTCACATACAAAAAGTTCCTCCCTCTTCACCCTGTCGTCTGCCAACGCTCTCCGCAATCCCGCTCCAGCAAGATCTTCTCGATAATGTTTCGGTTGCGCAGCAGTGTCTATGCCTTTAAACCCAGAAGCAAGAGCCTGGTAGACGAAATATCCTGTCTGCTCCTTCTTCCAAGCAGTGCCGTATAGAAATACAGGGATTGCTGTTGGCGGCGGAGTCTCAGCCGCTGTTGTGAGCGCAGGGCGGAGGATTAGCTTTTCCCATGGCGATGCAGATGTCATTTCGGCTTTTTTCTTTTTTCTTATTCTGTAACATGAGGTAGAGGCGCTGGAAGTGATTGTTGTACGGAGTACTTGACATTGTTTTAAAAGAAATATTTATGTACGGAGTAAATAGAACGTGTGGCGTTATATGATCTATAAATATATACTATGTCGTCATTTACCGCACCCCGATCAAACAAACCAAAATAAACCCCTAGTTCGTTGACTTCGAGAGGGCCTTATTCAAGGCTGCTAGTACCTATGCACGTTCGTTGTTATAGATTATGCACCAGCGGGAACTCAATTTGCCTGATGTTGTCTACTAGCATTCCTATCGGCATCCCGGTATGAGATGCAACTGACTTTCATTTTCCATCCATGTTCATAAAGATTCGAAATCTTGGTATTTCTACCGGGCAAAGCACAGGATTGCATTCTCACCATATCCTTCCTGGCCGAGTCATATCCCGAACCCCCCAAAAATGGAAACATGCCTGCCTCAACGTTGAAAAGTAAGACTTTCAATCCCCCCATTCTTCAAATCAGCAACAAGAGGGGAGGCGACCGAAACGCTGCTTTGGCCCGGTTGATGCACAGTACGTAGTAGGTACGCAAATCCCAAGCATCCCTTCTTGAACTCTTAACCTAACCCGGACCACGAGCTGTCGGGTGGAGGGAGGGCTTCCAACCTATGTATTTATCCATAGTATACTCGTATTCTCGCCCCCTAGCTGCTTGCTTTGCATATGGAGTATCGAGTTGAGTTGAAAGTTGGTTCTGCGAGCTTGTTGCGTGTCGATAGAAACGATATATGAACCAGCCCCGGGGGAGGAGGGGTGGACCGGTTCGGGTGTGGGGCAGGGGGTGGAGCTATGACGGGAAATTTTCCTCTGCTTTCCTGGTTTAGTAGTTATTTTGTGCTTTTCATTTCATTCTTATCTTCAACTAGACTTATGAATTTCTGTAGAAATTGTCCATGATCGGGCTAATCTCGAATCTGGATGCCATTTCCCTGTGGCAATCTACCCAGGCAGTATATTACGAAATTGGAAACGGGGATCGCCTTGTAGAAAAGTATTCATTGATCCGCTGCAGGGGAAGCAAAATTTCTTGCTCTGGAGGAGATTTCAGCTTCAAATGGATATGGTAGTCTAAGCGACCTAGGTTGAGCTAGCTCTGTCCAGAGCGGATGGGCTGACTTGTGACGTAGTTACTGATGGAGCTGTCAAGATGCTATTCCGAGACGGATGTACCATGTATTTGAAAGGGTAAGCTTCTAGATATTGCCACCAATTGCATCCAAGGACGATAAAAGAGAGCGAGTGGCGGCGTTCAAAGCTTGGATCAAACTGGGATTTGGCAGTAGGAGAGGTTTTGCTGGAAGACAGCAAGGTGTCATGCAAACAATGAGCAGAAAGCAAGCATTTGTCGTTCGATTTAATCTCTCTCTCTCTCTCTCCTGTTTTTCTTCTTCTTTTTTTTATGTAAATGTTATTAGTTAATCCAATGGTCGGGTAACCAACTATATATATAGATCTTTGGAGTCAATATATCAACTGGTTCGAGCAGAATCTTGGCTTGGAACAGACCAATCTCACATGACAGACATTCATCTGCCTTGGAGTGGTCCCTATCATCATCGTGGCACAGCAGCGCGGCGCAGTAGCATTTGGAGTGTGGCGCCTGTGGCCTCCCCGCTCTCACAAGTGATCAGATCAGTCACTCCTAACTGTATGTACGCAGCAAAGGGTGGCTCGTTTGCGCGCACGCTATTCGTTCTGAGCTTTGAGCAGCTAACTCATGAACTTCTGTTGGTGCCTATAGTTTCTCTCCCCTGTTGAAAAACTGATTCGATAATGCCCTTCAAGCCAGGGGAGAAGTGTCAGTTGATTTTGATGGAAGGGGATAATGGCGATGCAATACGAAGCTCTTGTGCATCCGCGTGCATCTCGAAGATGGGAGGTGGGGAATCGAAGTGAGGATGGTTCACCCGGGAAGACAGACATGATTGGGCCAGCCAGACTGGTGGTCCCGTTCAATGCAGGGTCAGCTCGGACTTCTCCATCATGATCAGGACATTAGCTCAGCCAAGGGCCGACGCATGGAGCTGTGGCCATCCAACGGCGGACAAGACTCACAAAAACGCGCAGAACTTGTCAGCTTCGAAGGGTAGTACGAAGGGGTGGGAGGCAAACGCGAAGGCAAGGGCAATAACAAAGGTGAGAGGTCGACGACGCAAAGGTGTACTACGATTATATACTCCTGCGTAGGACGGACGGGGGAGGGGAACAAATTGGAACTATTCAACAAAAACTTATCGACGGAGGAGGACATTGGTGCACTCGCTGGGGCAAAAAAAGTACATATGGCGCTATTTGTGATCATGCAACACCAAACACCTTGGCTTCTTTGTAGGCCCCCGACGACGGGCGAGAAGTCCAGCCCCTATTTTTGATTTGATCGAGGTAATTTTCTTAGTTTCGGTAGGCCTAAAACGGTATCAGATAATTGATGAGGACTCGTGCCGCTGCTTACCCACATCTCATGTGGGTGCGCCCACACCAAAGCAATAAAAACACGGAAATGGATAAAAAT